CAAAGAGGAATCCTTCCACTAGTATCAGTCATTTACTCTACTTCCTTTCAATTTCATCAAGTGATCATGTTACAGACACGTCATGGATAATTATGAGATGAGATCCTTCCTAATAGGCTAAGAGAATTAGTCCAGCATAAAGTATTTTTTTGTTTAGCCTTGACTATGCCCCTGAAAGGCAGTGACAGGGAAGAGGCAAAGCGGTTCTCCATTGAAATGGTAGATCATGGCAGTTGTCCTAATGTGATTTTGTTTAATGTCTTCTTGCAGGCATTTTGTAAGAATAGGAAGACACATGAAGCGAGTGGACCGTTTAACTTTAGAATAAATCTATGTGTACACAATTTTTTACACAATGTTTTACACCCCCCTCACATGGAGGGGGCCCCACACATAATAAAATAATCGTGGGCCCCCCTCCATATGAGGGGGGTGTAAAACATTGTGTAAAAAATTGTGTGTACACATAGCACCACTCTTAACTTTATGATTCAAAGGGGGTGAAGAACTCGATTATTTAATACACTGATGAATGGGTTTTACATAGGATTGATGATGCAAAGAGTTATTTGTTTTGACGGAGGATAAAGGACATACGAGACATGTTTTAAGCTGCAATGTGTTAATTAAGCGAGATGAACTTCTTCTCAAGGAATATGAACGTCTCTCATAGAGAAAAGAGACATGGTTAGCGATAATGTCAATATCTCCATTTATTGGCTCAAGCAATTAGCCAACTTGTTATACCTTCTGGAAAATATTTCTTGAGATGTCCAGATTGTTCACATCAAAAAATGATTAACCTTTTTTCGAATCATTATGCAATCCAGACTGCATCAAAATAGAATAATGTTATTCATAATTAGCAACTACAGTAGTTATCTTACGCGACATTTTATGTGGCATAATCTTAATAATGCTACTGAAAATATTCTTATTTTGTAATTACTAAAATTATGTCACGTAAGATGACTACTACAACTGCTAATTATGAATAATACTGCTCATAGAATAATATTAACTTTCCACTTATCACAAGCCAAAATTTGATTCTCCGTTCAAACTTTTTCGATGCTAACATATTTTATCTGTACTTCAACATTCCCAACAATCTGAATTCCCGATAACACTTGTTAGAAATTAAGATTAATTTCTCAATTTGTCCACAGATCCTTGGTTAGAGAATTTATTTGGAAGCTCGAAACTATAAAAGTATATATAGATATTCCATTAACTGGAAAATTTGTACAATTATATAAAATTTCTCACATAGCCCAAAGTCTAAGCACATCCTAAAATATAATACTAGGTGACTATAAAGGATCACAAGTCTCATTTGACTATCTTAAACGCGATATAAATAAAATAATAAAGAAAAATACTCTATTTAAACAAACACAGGAGGGAAATTTAATTTATATCCAATGTGGGATTTTAAACGGTGATATAACATATTAAAATTAGGAAACTAAAAATCATATTCTATATGGGATAGGCAAATATAATTCTAATTTAATTTTAGAATACCAAGCCAAAATCACAACACCACATTAATTGAGGAGGGGAAAGGGTTCTTGATGAGATTACATTCGGAGGAGGCAGTTGCAACAATTAAAAAGGTTTAGAGGTGGACACGGTTTTACGGATGGAAATGTTAGGACAAGAAGAATCAGATACTCTAAATGGGGTGAATGAATGGGGTTGGTTGGGGAACATGTCGGTGGTGGTGGTCGCTGCAACAACGGCAGTGGGGCGTGGTGGAGAGAAGATGAAATGGTTTTATTACCTTTTATTCTTTTTATGTGTGTAAAAAAAAAAAAATTTGCATTGTTGGTCTTCACTTATTTTCCTTCTTGCATTTATGTAATTGGACATCCATAAAAATTTAAGGACTACATGAGCAATTAAAATTTTCTATTTTGTATCTTTTCTTTTCGTTCATTTAAAGGGGACAACAAATTTTGTCATTTTACGAGGCTTTAAGTAACAAAAGAGATTATGGAAAAATGAATTATGTTACTTAATTGAAAGTTTGGGTTTGACTTTGCTAACAAAATTGGTTAGGGAGAGTTTTTTTTTTTTTTT